GAAGAAGAAGAGGAGGAAGAAGAAGAAGAAGAAGAGGAGGAGGAGGAGGAGGAGGAGGAGAAGGCGAAGTGATTTGCGCGAGAGAAGCGGGGCCAAAAGCAGCCGCGGAGGCTGCAAAGCCCGGGCGCCCCAACCGACAGTCTGACCCTCTGCCCTCCTCCTCCTCCTCCGCCCCACGACCCGCGGCTAAGAGAGTCCTCCTCCCCCACGGCTGGCAGCCGGACCCCGCCGGCTCCTGCTCGCCTGAGCTGCCGGTCGTAGCGCTGCTCCTTCAGGCTGAGCCGGCCCGCCGCTCGCCCGGACGCCATGACGCCGCTGGGCCTCCTGCGCTTCCCCGCGCCGCCGGAGAGGGCGACCGAGAGCGCGGCTTCTGCGCCTGCGCGGAATCCCGCTCGTTGCCTGGGCTTCCCCGTGGGATGCTGAGGGACCCCGAGGGATGCGCTTTGAAATGCCAAAGGCGGGTCAAGCCAGAACCGCCGGTCAGAAGAAATAATTGTAATTCACACACACACCCCGATGCTCATGAGGGCAGCCCTGTAGGACAGTGTTTCTCAACCTTGACAATTTTAAGGCATGTGGACTTCAATTCCCAGAATTCCACAGCCAGCAATGCTGGCTGTGGAATTCTGGGAGTTGAAGTCCACATGCCTTAAAATTGTCAAGGTTGAGAAACACTGCTGTAGGAGGAAGGTCGTAGTGCGGATGCAGGCTTGCCTGAGAGGGTGTCTGCTCCTCCTGGCGCGGTCACCTCTTTGATCATTTGTGTCCCATTAAAAACAGTATTAAGAGCTCAGTGCTCTTAATGTCAATGCCAAAGCAGGCTCAGATTGTGCATTCTCTGGACTACAACATAAATTGCTTCACAAACCAGACCGCTGTTCCCACACATATATTTCAAAATGGGCTGTTGAAATGGTGTTTCTCATTATCGAATCCAGCGATAAATTGTTTTATGACACCTTACTCTTCACTAAGCGATAATAACATAGGAGGAACTAAATTCACATTATTGCTCTTGTTCAAGGACAGTGTTATGCCTGTGCTGTGGAGACTCATTTGTCCTTGAATGGAGTAGTGATGAGATTCCGTTCATAAAATGTGTGTGCCTGTGAAAACGCACACTCACAACACATACAAACACACATACAAACAAACCTTTGCAGGCTTCAGATAACCAGCACCTTTGTTTTTAGGAGATGTTTTAAGTCAGAAAAGTTTACAGATGTCCTGAAAAATGTAACATCCATTCAGAAGGTTCAAAAAAACAACGTATAATCTACATTTGCATTTTGCATTTAATCCATACTTTGATTAAGATGCAATTGGCTTGATGTACATGTAATGCTGACCTATCAAGTCTATTTATTGTGCAAGGGAAACTGGCCTGTTAACTGGAGTCTTGATACTTAAATCAGCTGCTTTTATTATACCATAATTCCAGGTGAAATTATAAATGGACCATGGTTCAGAAAGTTTCAGTCTATAAGACATTGATTTATTTACTTTATGGCAGTCTGTAGTATCATGAAGTCTATAATTAATGTGTTAAATTTTTCAAATGGTACAAAACATTGGCTTAGGTCTAACAAATTCAA